ATCAAAAATTATTTGTCATGAATGTTAAGTTTTAAGGGCACATAAAGATGTCCTAAACCCTATGCAAACGATCAAGATGTCCTAAACCCTATGCAAACGATCACCTAAGTGACATCATTGTTTCATGCCCCCCAATATATCTCATGCCCTTATAGATACATGTTATGGCACTTTAAGGTGCCCTGATAACCATTATTTTTTGTAGTGAATCTCCAAGATTTATCATATGATCAATAAATCTGATGCCATGAAAAAAAAAATTCTTATAATTCAAAATAGTGGTGGAAAGTCAATTTAGGCTTCATTTGAGATGGCTTTTTTAATATTTTCTAAAGCAGCTTCCTAGTTCAAATATTTCTAATTCAAAAAAAATTGTACAAGAAAGCTACTTTAGAAAGTAGTAAAAAAGTTCTCCCAAATGAAACTTTAATCACCCCCATTAAATTTGTCTAATGCAATAGAGGCAGATAATATAATAATAATCTTTTCAACTCCTACCTCAAACACATGATCTAATGCATCAATAAAGGTTTCCATACACATTCGAGCAAAATGAAAAGGAAAACATAGACACCTTGTTGACCACACCCTTCTACATGAACCTCAAATCTCAAATAAATTTTACGTAGATGCCTTACTCATTGAATGTGTGCATACCACATTAGTCGTCTTTCTTCCTTGGTTAAATATAACAAATCACCCTACCAATTGTCTCATCCACGAATGCCATCCTCTACTTGCCTATGAAATTTTTAGATGTGCTTATTATCCTTAGTTTAAAACCCTAGTCACCCCACACACACTATAACAATCTAACAATTTGAAAATACTTTTAAAATGCAAGTCTAAATTTTTTGAAAATTCTGAACTGGCGCACTACAGTGCTATGCTTGTGGGGAAAGTAGTAATGGGAGGTACCTAGAAAGTGCCACTGTGGTGCTGGGCTCTTTGATATTTTTTAAAAAATTCAATGCAACAACGTAACGCTAGGTCATGGAAGTGTCACAATGCTAGGCACTAAAAAATATTTTTATATAATTTTTTTCTCCACTCAGCCACCCACCCACTCCAGCCATTGGGCTTGCTCGGAAGGAAAGGAAGAGAGGAGGTGGATAAGAGAAAGAAAAGGACTCAAATTATTTTTGTTCATTAGTTTTATTCAGATATTTCTTCTACTCATGATAGGTAACACGAATCTCACTCTAGTTTTAATGAGTTTGATTAATTTAATTTTCTCCAAATCTATAAAATTATAAATTTCTTCTGATTTATCATGCTTTCACCGTGTAATATTTTGTATATCATAGATATTAATTTTGTGAGTATTTTGACTATAATATTATCAAATTCCATTGGGTTAATAGATATTATGATTTTTTGAATAAATGAATAGTGTTTAGATTTCATGCATTTCCTAGATTAGTGTATTTTATACATGATATTGATTTATATTTTATATAAATATGACACGACTGATATGAAATGAATGTGATATTTGCATAAAATCAAGAAAATCTAGCTATTAATATTATAATTAAATGGGTTGGCTCTTAAAATAAAAATACTCTGCTTATGAGGGTGGATCAACCGGTTTTCCTTAAAAAAAGATTTATGGTGTAATTTTTAATAAATTAGCCATTGATTGATTGATTGAATTATGTCGATGGACAGATGATGATGACTCTTTATAAATTATTAAAAGTCGCCTACAATGATGATGTAATGATGATAATATAATGATATAATGAATAATTGATAAAACTTATAGATGATAGATGATTAATGGAAACTCTGTATTAAACTGAATGTCTTGCCTTATTATTCATACTAATATTTATATGATAACACATGAACTACTTGATAGATAAAGCTAATATAGAACTGATTAAATAGCATTAAAACTAATACAACATGACATAGAATAAGACAAATACACTTACATTTATTTATAAGCATATTGATATTGTACATTATTATGGCAGACTAATTGTCACGCCCTAGAATTTATCATAAAAGGATTTCATCTCCTTTCTTTAATATTTATATTATCTATTTTCAATTCATATTATTATCTATTTTCAGTTCATATTATTATCTATTTTTAGTTAACATATGATACTCATTTATAACCAGATCATTATTAACCAAAACTGACTAGTTGCATCTAGGATAAACAACTAAACACAAATTTTTTTTATTATAATCAATATTTATATTTTGTTCTAAAGTTAAAAATAACATATACAATAGCTAGCCACTATCGACTCAAAAAGAATACATCTAAATTAAAGAACTTAAAATAAAACTAAAATAACATTACTATTAAGTCTCAATCCATAGGTTTCTTATATCTACTTGAAATCATATAAAATCATATAATGAACACAAAAACTCAGTATGTAACCAAAATTTACCACTGCATTCAATGAAAGGTAAAAGAATCAATACGCCAACACTAGTTTTATTCCATATTAATTAATAATCAATAGTCTATCAATATAATCAATAAGAAATCTATAAAACACATCAATCAATAGTAAAATCAATATGATCTGTAAAGCCAAAAGAGATCTATCAAACTATAAGAAAATTGATAAAAATTAGGGCGATCAATCAATAGGCATGTTATGCTATAATGTATCAGTATCAATACTAATTCAATAAATTCTAGCTATATCAGTTATGACTATCAATTATCATATATTATCATGTCAATACAATCATGAATGTAATTATGAAGAGCAAGGTAAGATATCGAGCTTTAATATAATGTTTTCATCATTTTACCTTAATCATCGCTAAGTTTGTCATCAATTTTTAATTTAACATCAATTATCGACCAGTTGGTCATCAATATTTATCTTATCATTATTGTTCATTATCTTAAATCAAGTCATATGCAACTTTTAATAATCATTTAAGTGTCATCACCCTCTATATATCGGCATAATTTGGTCAATCAATTGAGAACAACAACTACGATCACACCACAAAACTTTTATTTTAGGGAAAGTTTGTCGACCCACCCTCCAGTGCAAGATATTATATTTTAAGAACCAACTCATATTAATTATAGTATTAATAGTCAGCCTCTCTTGTTTACATGCAAATGCTGCATTTATCTTGAATCGATAGTATCAGTCTTTCTTTAATGTATAAAATGTAACATGAACTACAAGAATCTATACAATAGAGAAAAATTTGTATGTTAGTTTATGACTTTAGAAATCATAACTTTCATTTTACCCAGTGAAATTCAATGATATTACAATAATATCTATGTCAGTCATATATGTCATATACAAAAATTTACATGTTAAAAGTGCGATAAATCAGGAGAAAAAATTTTTTTTATCATTTTTTAGAAAATTAAATAAAGTTTTAAGTCTCTAACTACGATCATAAGACTTTTCACAACTGATGCAACATATAAAAATGACCAAAACCCAACTTTCTCTCTCCTTCCTCTCTCAACTTCCTCTCACTTTCCCTCTCTTATTCCACGGCAAGCCACACGAATGAGAGGCGGAGGAATGGCCTAGTATTTTATGTTTAAAATTATATATATAATACTATTTGTAGCTTAGCACAGCAGTGCTCACGCATACTGATTCATGGCGCTGATGCACTAGATCATTGCATTGCCACGTTTAAAATCTCGTTGTTTTCGTGCTGAATTGTTTTTAAATTTTCTTGAGATTAGAGTGCTAGAGCACTGAAATATTCAACGTCGCAGTGCTCTAGTTTAAAAATTCTAGAAATTTTATATTTTCATTTTAAAATAAATTTCATATTCTTGTATACATGGCATATCATTGATAAAAAAATATATAATAGAATTATTAGCATGAATATACTTAATAAATAATTGTTATGTTTTTTTTACTTCACAGCTCCTAACATTTCTTTATAGAGTTTTATTTAATTTATAATGGATTCATATGCTTCTTGAGATGTTTTTGCTTCACTGACCATATTAAATTTTTATTGATGAATTGATATTGTTCGATGATTTCATAACAATAATCATTGGCTTTCTATTGATTGAGTTGAACATGTATATTAATTCTTAAGACCTCGCATTGAATACAGTGGTAGATTTTGATTGCTTTTGGGGTGTGTGTCATGTGTAATTGATTGACTTTAGGTTCATGAAGGGGACTAGTTGAGTGAGATTGATCATATTCAAATTATAGATTTAGTTTATTTTCTTGTATTTTGTGATATCCTTTTTATAACTGGATGGGTTGAGCATATTGAAGATTGATAACATTTTCATATCAATCTCCATGACTGCTTCAGTGATTTCACTATTAAGTTGAGCATATTTACGCAACTGATCATTTTGATATGTTGGTTATGAGCTTTGGCTTACAATCAAGAAGTTAGGGATTCGAAGCTTGTGTATGTGATGTGTGTATGAATTCGTCTTAATTAGCCTAAATGTGCCCATTAAAAAAAAAAATTGAGCATATTTGAGCAATGCTGCCGAGAAGTAAGAGTACTTTTTATCATATTCATTAAAAAAATATAATTATGATTTTAATCACTCTACTGAAACAATAACTTCAGCTTATTTTTTTAATAATCGTTTAGCATTTTTTTTTAACCTTCTTATAGATCTTGCATGGATGTGGACAGAAAATTAGCACAACTGATTTTTCTTAAAATAGTAAGAACAGAAAAAAAATTATAATTGATAGTTTTATTTGTTTTATTTTAAAAATAAATCTGTTTGAATGATCGTGTAAATAGATGAGATCAGCGCATTAATCTGTTAAATCTTTGGGGCAAGAACAAATCTAACTCCCATCCAAAAGAAAACAAAACATATACCAGATTTCCCTTCCATACAAAGCCCAAAAATAGTGACTATCATCTCCTACATAGCCTCACCTTCCCTTTCTCTTCTCCATCCCATCCATTTTAAACCTCTTTCCCCCAATTTACCTAATTTACAAAGCCCTACATTCATCGTCTCACCCTCTACCACCTTCACAATGGCAATCAAATCCCTCACCTCCCTCTCCCTCCTCCTCCTCCTCACCATCACCGTCCTCTTCTCCTCCTCATCAGCCCACAACATCACTCGCATCCTCTCAAAACACCCCAAGTTCTCCATCTTCAACTCTCTCCTCTCATCCACCAACCTCGCCAAAAAGATCAATCATCGCAACTCCATCACCGTCCTCGCCGTATCCAACGCCTCCATTGGCGGTCTCATTGGTCTTAGCCCTAAAATCCAGCGCCGCATTCTATCCGTCCATGTCATCCTTGATTATTTTGACCGCGAAAAGCTCCAGAACCTCAAAAGCCATTCAACCATCGTCACCACCCTCTTCCAAACTTCTGGCATAGCTGAAGGCCGGACTGGCTTCCTCAATGTAACCAAGTTTGCCAACGGGCGGATCGCCTTCGGCTCCGCAGCTTCTGAGGCCCACCTCGTCGCAAAATTAGTGGGACAAATTGTCGCACGACCCTACAACATATCTGTACTCCATATCAGCTCGATCATCGACCCTCCGGGCATCGATGGCCCCCACCATAACAATACTCCACCATCACCATTGCCTCCCGCTCCAACCAAGGCTGATGCAAAAGCTCCGCCTCCTGCTGCTGAAGCACCAGTGATCAAACCTATTGCTCCAGTCATCGATGCGCCAGTAACAGAACCTGTTCCAGCTGATGCACCGGCCAAAGATTCGTCGAAGGTAGAGCCGCCGAAGGGAGCGGAAGATGATAAAGTCAAGTCAAGCGCCGGGCGGGTGGCGATCAGAACAGGCATTGGTGCGTTCATGGGTGTGGCTTTAATTGCCCTTTAATTGCCTTGCAGTAATTTGAATTATGTGGGAGTGAGAAACTAAAATAGGAGATTTGTTAATTGTATCTTGAATGTATAAGGATCATAGCTAGATGGTCGTTGCATGCATGCAAGAAAACTTTTTATTTCATAATCCGGTTATATTTGAGCTAATAAGACAGGGTAACATAGTAGTTTGTGATGTTTTTTTCATTAATTAATATGTGCAATTTGAAGGTCTGTTCGCAAATATTAACAATTAAATTTTGTTATTATTTAAATAATAGTTTTGAAATATTATATTTTTTAATGTTTAGAGTATGTTATTTGAGAAGTATTTGCATTAATACTGTAATATTTGTGCTAAAAAATTGATGACTGTGATGGATTCTGCAAACGAAAAACTATGTCATCTATCAAAGAGTTTGTCTAAATTAGGGAAGATTTTTAATGTGAATAAATAGATAAATGAGCATATCAATTATCTATAAATCAAGGCAATAAAAATTAGTTCTAATTTTAAAATAACCAAAAACATTTGCTTCAAATTTCTTTTATTAGGGTTGATCGGTAGAGTTTGGGTCAGACCCAATGTTGACTTGATCTAATTCAATCAATTTGAATCCGACATATTTAATAAATGGGTCAAAAAGATAAACTGGAACTCAACCCGCCAGAGAATAATCCAAAACCGACCTGTTAACCTCTTTGGTTAAAAAATTTAATAAGTTATTAACTATAAATTTTATGATATTTGATCCAAAATAAAAAGACTATACTCACAAGTAAAAAATATTAAGAAAAATTTGTATTAAAAGAGTTATTTATTGGGTCAAAAACATATTTGTGGATCAACTCGAACCCAACCCATTTAATAAATGGGTCGGAAAACCCAAGTTGAACCTGTCCTAATTTTTAAGCTACCAACTCATATCAAGATTTTTGGGTCGGATTGACCAATCAGGTCATTTATTGACACATCTATACAAAGAACTAATAGATAAGGGTGTAAATATTTGACACGACACGAAAACCCGGGACCCGGGTCAATTCTGGGTTCGACCCGAATCCGACCCGTGACCCTAAATTGACACCCCTACTAATAGAGGACGAAGTAGACTACCATTAGAATACTATAAGAAGCTAAATAAAAATATTTAATTATCACTAGCAATTTAATTGATGTATGGTTGTCATGCATAATAAGACTAAGTTATTATAAGGTTGGATTTTGGACATTTCCAAACCTTTGAACTTATTATTTTCAAATTTAGAATTTTGATATTTATATTATATAATTTAAATTTTGAGTTAGGATTCTTGAAAATGGAGGAAATATTATATAAAAATATTTGAGAATTAACTAATTTATTTAAAATAAATTAACTAATTAATTTCCACTAAAGAATGGGGGGCCACCTCATGTTTGAGGGGTAGTTGCAACATGTAATCATCTCCTCTCTTTTTCCACATATACTTTGTCTGGCCTTTACCTTCACTAATCTGCACCATTTTTCCTGATAATTCACCCACAAAAATTCATCCACAACCCTAAACGGGGTTATTGGCCGAACATTTCATGAACAAAATTGAATTTTGTACTTGACCTCATTTAGCCTATCAAACCCTTAAAATTTTGTGAAACATTCCTTATCCAAAGTAGAAATATTCCTCTATTATACATAAGTGCTTTCAGGCCCTGATATCATCCATAACTCACTCCACTAAGGCCTCAAACCCTTTTTAGGGCTCTGGAACAATAGAAATTATTTTATTCGGACGCCGAGCACAATTCATCGTCCGGAGACCAACCAGAATGCATTACGTTAGCAGTACTGAGCCGCGGTACTGAGCAGTACCGAGCGGGAGGTGATGTGGCGCATTCTGGTTAGTCTCCGGGCAGCGTTCCGCATCCGCACAAAATATTTTTTTTCCTGGAACAAAGGGTCTTATAACTAGGCTTACTCTTGATGAAGACCACATAAGATCCATTAACATTGTTTAAAAATATATTTAAAGCATGGACATCTAAACATTTAAAACATTAACATTGTTTAAAAATATAATTCAGGAGACAATATTATGAAGAAACATAAGTGCCATGCATCTTGCTCCAAGGCTTTCATTGCTTGGAAGGAGTGGCAGTTTGGGGAAGTTAAGAAGTAGATGAGATTTTCTGGTCTGAGTATAGAACTAAAGAAGATAGAATGTTTGAAGTTATCTCAAGATTCGAGGGGCTTACAGGCAATATATGTGAAGATACCAGCTTGGGAGGTGGATAAGAATGGGGAGTAGCTAGTATTTTAAGTGAGGCATGGTGTGTTCAATTAGGAGAATGTTTCCACTCATAAATTATTAGCTGTGGAATATCATTTTCTTTAACAGTGATGCTGATATTAGCTTCGTTCGGGACAGTTTTTTGCCACTGTTTTTTATTATTTTCAAAAAAAATCTTGTGCTGAAAAGCTACTTTAGAAAACAATAAAAATTGTCTCAAACGAAGCCATGTTCAAGAAAAAATGAAATCGTTGACTTATGCACACTGCCTCTAGCAAAAATCTTTCTATTTTTTTGGGCAAGTAGGTAATTTAACTCAAATAGCAATTTCATTACAATCCTCTTTCACAGTAATCCCTGTTTTGAGCTCAAGTCATCTTTGGTTTGAGCTCCAGCATTAAAATCCTCTTTCACAGTAATCCCTGTTTTGAGCTCAAGTCATCTTTGGTTTGAGCTTGAGCTTGTTTAAAAAATCGAGTTTGAGCTCCAGCATTATTCTATGAGTTCAAGTCGCCTCACAAGCCGGTTCTTTTGTTATGAAAGAGAGAAAATAATTATGATTCGAACAATTATTATAATAAAATGATACAAGACTAAGAAATTAAAAAACAATAATAAATAATTACTTACCATAAGAAAGTGAGATATATTTTTTTAATATTTTTAATAACTTTGTTTTTTAAATTTTTAAATACTAATATATTTTTAAGTGTATTTTATATTAATATTTTTTAAATAAATTGACTCGCGTGCTCACAAGTCGAGTCAAGGCTAGCTAGCTTGACTCAGCTCAACAAGCTCAGCTCACGAACCATTTATTGAATCGAGTATGAACCATCTCATGAGTCGGCTTGATTCACTTGTACTCCTAAACCAAGCCCTACTTTGACATGAATCATGATGGGTCAGTAGTGCTAAAACTTCAAGAAAAAAAAAAAAAATCTACATTGATTTCATTATTAATATTTTAGAACTTACATTTCACTAACTCATATATTAATGTACTTGGGCATGATTTTGCGCTAGGCACCCTTCTTATTTGAGATATATTAATGTATTTGTTCGGGGAAAAGCAAGTCAAGAATGGAGGGTAACACTAGTTCTAGCGAAAAAAGGATGTTTATGTCAATTTCTCGAGCACGAATGTAGTTGAGAAACTTTCCTCCACCATCTTTAAACATTCACAATTTAACAATGTTGGCGAATATACTTATGAAGTTAGCTCAAGACATTTATATTCTCCTCTTGGAGAGAAGGATGTTTCTGGGGATTTTTTAGAGAAGAGAGAGACATTGGTACAATCGATCCTGAAGCTGATTCTATTGTGCAAAAACCTGTTCGTAAGCTATTTGATGAAGTGCCACAAAGAATTACCATCTCTTGGAATGCAAAGGTTCCAGTGCATGCAAAGAATCATTTTCTTGAGCTAGTAGATGATTATTTGCCCAAGAGGACTGCGTTTAAAATTTTTGATCCAGGAGGTTGACGCATACATGTTTCCTACAATAACCTCCCTCCCAACGACACGAGCTTCGAACGGAGTCGAGCTCTTTTGACGCAAGGGGAGAATGATGTGGAACATTATAGCTAATAGTTCTCCTTAGGAATAGCTTATCTAGTTTGTTACAAGTCTCTCTAGAATATTCTATAGATGGGTTATATATGTATGCATTGTAGTAGGGAAAGCTCATTGAATGAAATATTTTAGTCTTTGAAGCCTTAGAGCTTGTCTTCTTCTTCTTCCCTGGATTGGGAAAACGAAATCCTTCTTGCGGGTCGAGTCTTCCGACGATCCACTACATCAAGTTAGAAAGACCATTGTCTGGTGATTGAGGTTAGAATATACATATTCGACAGACGACGGTGGTCAAAAAGATTGTTATTAGGCGATGAACCATAGTGGATGGGCAATGGTTATTTCCTAGAGATGGAGGTCAGAAAGTCTGTAGTCGACAAATGATGATGGTCAGGAAAACCTTTATCAGGTGAAGGAGATCATAAGAATAAATAGTTTGTGGGTGACGGTGGTTAGAAAATTGTTGTCTGGAGACGGAGGTCAGAAGGTTCGTAGTCGGTAGACGATAGTGGTCATAAAGACTGTTATCAGGTAATGGAGATAAGAAGGACCATAGTCGATGGGAGAAAGCGGTCAGAAAGACCATTGTTTGGAGATGGAGGTCAGAAGGTCCATAGTCGGCAAATGACGGTGGTCAGAAAGACCGTTTTCTAAAGATAGAGATCCGAAGGACCGTAGTCGGCAGCGACGGTGGTTAAAAAGACCGTAGTTTGACGATGGAGGTTGAGAAGAAATCTGATATAAGACCAATAATAATTGGTGGCCATGCAGAAATCTGGTAATAGTTGGTGGTCGGGCAGATGTTTGGCAAAAATTCGGTAATGGTTGGTGACCGAGCTTAAATCCGGCAATAGTTGGTTCTCGGGCGGAAGTCCAAGAACAAACGGTGGTGGGGAGTAAGTCTAACAACAGTCGGTGGTTAGATAATGGTCGAGGAGGAACTTGGTGGCAAGAGAGAACTCAAATTTCTCTTCATCTCCTCTCTTTTTTTCTCTTCCTTGCTCCTTGCTTGCTTCTTCCTTTCTCTCCTCTCTTCTTTCTCTTCCTCACTACCTGCTTCCTCTCTCTTTGCTTCCTTCTTCCTTCCTCCCCTTTAATGAAGAATGAGGGATTTATTTATAATTTTTTTTGGATTTGCATGTCTAGTAAATAGAGAGGAGATCAAGGGCATGTTGGGAGTGTTTTGAATGGACAACCTCTATCTACTCCTTTGATCATGGATAGTTTATTGAGTATTTGAGTGCATTAATGATATAAGAATTCGACGATCTTGGACTTGTTAAATTTTCTTGTCGAGCTGCTCGATTCTACTATAAGCATGACACATTTAACAATCGTTTGGTTATCCAATTATGATTTGAACCTTTCAAACTCATTTCGGGTCTTCAATTTGGACTCACTTGGTCTCGGATTGGGTTGAATCGGTGTTGTTTATTTTGTCTTTTTGAGATGTTTAGTTCGACTATAAGTTTGCAAAAATTAAAGTTTGGATAGGGGTGTCAATATTTGACACGACACGAAAACCCGACCCGGACCCGACCCGGAAAATCCGGGTTGGACCCGACCCGATTTCAAAACGGGTCGGGTTCGGGTTCTAGAAATTGACCCGTTTAAAAAACGGGTCGGGTTCGGGTTGACCTGACGGGTTTGACCCGAAACACGCAGTCCGAGTCCGAGCCAGCCCGACCGCGTCCGCGTCCACCCTCGCGCCCGACCGCGTCCGCGCTCGCGCTCGCGCGCTGCTGCCCGCTCCGCCCGCGCTCGCGCGAATGCGCAATGCGCTGCTGCCGCTCCGCACTGCGGCGATTTCGGGTCACGGTTCCGGGTCGGGTCAACCCGACAACCCGCAGGGTCGGGGTCGGGTTCGGATTGTTGATATATAAAAAATCTAGACTTTCCTTCAGTTAAAAAAGAAGGCTATTGAAAAGCTACACAAACAAAATATTTAACTCCCTTGACGAATCCTTCTGCTAATCATTTACGTCCAACTTAAACTTTATTATGATTCCAAGACATTTCAGGAGATAATTTTTGGAAGAAACATAAGTACCATCTTGCTCCAAGGCTTCCTTTTCTTGGAAGATGGAGTGGCAGTTTTGGGAAGTTCATAAGTAGATGTGATTATTTGGTCTGAGTTAGGGGTGCAAATGAGTCGAGTCGAGCTCGAGTCAAGGGTTGTTCGAGCCGAGCTCGTCTGTCAAATGTCGAGATCGAGCTTGAGCTCGAACTCGAGTCAAGCTCAAAAGTCAAGCTCGAGCTCGACTCGACAGAGGAAAAAAAAAGCTCGCCGAGCTTTTGAGCGGCGATTTGAGCTCTAGCTCGCGAGCCCGCGTCCATCATTGCTCGTGCATCACTGCTCGCGCGACAATGCTCGCGTTGCTGATCGGAGAAGGCTGGAGGAGCTCGAGCTCGCGTGCCCGCGTCGCAGCTCGCGTCGCTGATCGAAGAAGGCAGGAGGAGCTCTAGTTGCTGATCGCGTAGCGTCGAGCATCCCTGTGTTCGAGTCACTGACCGGAGGAGCTCGCGTCGTTGATCGTCTGTCGTTGCTCGCGTCGCTGATCGGCAAAGTTGCTGCCCGCATCCGTCACTGCTCCGTCACTGCCCGCATCCGTTGCCACCCGCGTCCGCCTCTGATCGTGTTCAAGCTACTCGAAGAGCCAACGAGTCGAGCAGCCCTGTGTTCGAGCTCGAGCTCGATTAGCCGTCGAGTCGAGCTCGTGTTCAAGCTCGACTCGCGAGCTCGATTAGCTCGGCTCATCGAGCTCGTTAATGAGTCGAGCCCGAATCAGCTCACGAGCCGGCTTGGCTCGGTTGCACCCCTAGTCTGAGTATACAACTCAAGAAGATAGGATATTTGAAGTTATCTCAAGATCTGAGGGGCTCACAGGCAATAGATATAAAGATACCAGCTTGGGCATGGTTTGTTGAATTAGGACAATGTTTCCATTCATAAATTATTAGCTGTGGAATGTCATTTTCTTTAACAGTGATGGTTATATTAGCTTCATTCGGGACACTTTTTTGCCACTGTTTTTTGTTGTTTTCAAAATAAGAAATCTTGTACTAAAAAGTTATTTTAAGAAATAGAAAAAACTATCTCAAACGAAGCTATGTTCAAGAAAAACAAAGTCATTGGCGCACGAGTTATTTATCAAATAGAGTCTGAACCAACTCATGAGTCCTCTTGACTCACTTATACCCCTAAATCAAGCCCTACTTTGGCATGATGGGTCAATAGTGCTAAAACTAAAAAAAAAATAAAAAAAAATTAAAAATAAAAAAATCTCTACTAATCATTTTATTATTAATATTTTAGACTTTCAGGCTATAAGAGATCAAAATCATTGTTTTTTTCTAAAAATTATGGGAAGAAAAAGGAACAAAAATAATAATAAAAATAGAAGGTCATTAGATAGTGTGGTTTTCCAGTGCTATTTGGTTGCCAGTTGCTATCAAACATAACTGTTAAATAATAATAAATTAATGATGTATTTTTGGCTTTTAAACTATACCAACACCATCAACTACAATTTATGCTTTCCATTTGTTGAAGTTTTGGGTACACAAACTCTGCAGCTATGTTGTGAACAAAGTTGGGAAGTAAATGCATGTTTCTATTTTTCCATTCAAATGAATATGTATTCAATCGACAATCATAGATAGTACCTTTCTCAAATTGCCACGATCATCCTAATATTATGTGGCAAACGTCCATATCTAAGACGTCATATAGGACTTCACAAACATAATTTGTAATGGTTTCGCTAAATTAATGGTTGGATGAATACTTATGAGAATGGTGTTGAAGCTGCAATTATGCATTGAGTGTGAAATTAACAACTTGGGATACTGACCAAACATAATTCAATTCTAGTATATCCTAAATGGCATCTTCCAACCCTCTCAATATCTCGTGCAACTAATTGATTATGGATTCATTGAGAATTTTTCGAACACTCAAATAGTAAAATTCTTTAGTATATTAACTCATGGTGCGATTTCCTTGAGTACAATGCTAATAGTTCATACAGGGCATTTGATCTAAATACGTTGGAAGAAAATAGCCACGAAGCAATTGTTTCATTCAGTACCACCTACGAACACAACCTCGACCTGGCGCTAGCTCCGTCCTTCAAATGACCTGCCACATATTTTAGTTGCTTCTTTGGTGGAATATCCATATATTCGAATAATTTAGATTCTGTTAAAAATTAAACTTGATTCAATTAATTTGGCCTTTTAAATGAGCCCATAATCTAGAAAAGCCCTCGGAAAATTCTAGAGTCTCATTTTATATGAAGAATGTTTTAGATGATTTAAGAAATACATTTTAAATGAGTGATTTAGAGAATTCTAGAATATATAATTAATAGCTTTTGTAAATGAAGATAGTAGAATATTCTAGAGAGTCAATAGTAACCATTGAATTGAAATGATTTGGCATAATCTTAATAGGGTGTCACTAATATAAATATGTGTGTTGTCTTTGAATTTTTGTATGAAGTAGAATCAAAAGTGTAAGAGTGAAAAAAATGAGTTTTACGAGTGTTCATCTTCTTTTTTAGAATTGCTTCTTTTACAATAGCCTCTTATTTTCCAACAGACTCTCGTGAGGTCTCCAAGTCAAGATAATCTTTGAAGGGTAATAGCCATCAAAGAAATGAATGTTTAATTTAGCACGAAATTCTCCTTTGAGGCCTAGAAATTGTTCATGGTTTCGCTAATCTGGGTTATTATGTGGATACTCTTCGTCAAAACCTAATGGTTTAATCTGTTGTCGCAGGTAATAATCCATTTATAGTCAAAATTCTTAGGAATAACACCTCCATGTACTCTAATGTGCTGCATTTCCTGCTGTACTTCAACTGAGAATCGCAGAAATTCAATCGAAAGCTCCTCTAGCCTATGGGAGAGATTTTACTGTGCTGCCCACAAAGCTTCTACACTCCGATTATCATCAAGAGCTGTACAGTGGTTCCCTTCAGCCATTTTCTCTGGTCTTGAGCTCTGATACCAATTATGACGTAGATTGTTAGCACACGGTTCATATTCATTAAGATATACTTGCACTTATTTACTTCTTTACAAGTAGTTCTTATTAGAACCATAGGCTTTACTTATTATAACTGTCTTGTATTTGACGTGTCGGCTCACGGTTGGTTTCTTTGTCTGTGCCGTACATAGCTGAGTCTATATAATAGCTATTATTCATCTGTAAAGTGAGTGAATAAGATACATTTCCCTTCGTCTTGGTATTCCAACTGTCTTTCTTGTGCTACGTTTCTCAGTGCTTCTTCATGGTATAAGGAAATAGGTTCTCATTCTGCTCCATGGCCGACTCCAACTCCTCCAACGTTGATGATCACCGCGATCCGCAGTCCATGGAAGATCCGATCATTCCTACAAATCTGAAATTCGTAGTCTCTAACCTCAAGATCTTCGTTCCGACTCAACTCGATCCGGAAAACTACGCCATATGGAAATTACAAATCCTCAAGATATTCCGCGCTAATGGCTTTAACAGTTTTCTTGATCCTCAATCTTCTCCTCCTTCCATGTATCTGACAAATTCTGATGGTTCTTCTTCTTCCAATCCTCTTTTCTCCCAATGGAACCTTACCGACCAAACTCTCGCTGCATCCATTTGTTCCACTATTTCATCCTTTGTTTTACAATATGTTATCTCCATTGAATCCACTGCCACAATATGGACCACATTAGCATCTAGATTTCAAGCTTCCAACAGTTCCCAAGTCATCCAACTAAAAAACAAACTTCACAATGTCTCTCTCAAGAACGTCAACATGACACAGTACATGTCATAAATAAAATCGTTGGTAGATCAAATAGCTGCGGCGGGATCCACGGTTGATACTGAAGATATCATTTTTCACATCTTAAATGGACTTCCCACCTCTTATCAATCCTTCAAGACAGCGATTCGAACGATGCTAACACCCATCAGCCTTGATCAGCTTTATCCCCTCTCAAGTGAGGAAATAAACATCGCCACATTGCTAATGGAACATCTTTCTTGTTCTACATTTCTCTATGCTTCTTCTGTTGTCTATTTAAGACTCTTGTACCATCATTTGGAATATATGAATTACTTCTTCTTTCTCTGTCCCTCTCTGACTCATCTCCGCCCAAGCCTTCCTTTGCTGCCCTCTCATGGTATCAAGAGCCACAAATGGGGGACTAAGACTCCACTTCTTCCCTCCCTCCCTCTTCTTCTACTCTTGCTGACAAGACCACTGATTTCTCCATTCCGGCGCCACTCCAATTCATCATCTCCAACATCAAGAACCTCATCCCACATCCTCTCAACACCGACAATTATGCAATCTGGCGAATTCAAATTATCCAACAATTCTCCGCAAACGGTTATGCCGAACATCTCACGGGCGCCACTCCTCCGCCTTCCAAAGCAGCATCTCAAGAACACGCTCGTTGGCGTCTCATTGACAGCAATTTGATATCCGCCCTCTTCTCCACGATATCGCTCTCAATCCTCCCATATGTCATCACCTCCACCGCCGCTCAAGAAATTTGGACCGTTCTAACTGGAAGAAAACAACGAGGAACAGAAGAACTGCTATAAGCTGCCTTCTCATCTCTTCTCCTTCCCTATATATAAAAGTCTACTGTGTTACAAAAGTGCTAACAAAATGAAAATAAGGGAAAAGGGGCAGAGCATAAGCAAAGTTGTGGTGATAAAACAAAAAATAACGCTAGTGGTTAGCACGTGCTTGCTTGATTGATTATCCTTCATTGCAACCACCGATCCTATATGAAGTACTTGAACATAATATTCTCAATATAGTAATCGAAAAATGTTTGCTGTCATTATTTTGTTAGAACTAAATCATGGAAAGCTGTAAAGAACCAATTTTAGTACAAAACACAAATCAATTCCTCCCTGCATTGATTAGCCACTTAATGATTGCTGGTACGAGTTTATTTAAGCTTAACAAGTCTTCACATGCAGGGCCTTCACAGCCTTTCCATCAGTTAACCAGACATGACTGTTCTTGCCACAATCATCCAATATTATGTGACAAACGCCCATGTCTAAGACGTTATATAGGATTTCACAAACATAATGCTGTCCTATTTAATTGTCAACCAGCACATTTCTGAGACAAGAATGTCTATTCCTCTTTTTTTCCCAAGAAATTTTATGCGGATATAGATTTTTAGTAAACTTTAACAATAATATTTGAACAAGGACTAAATACACTCATCATAAATTAATAAGTAACATATCATTTATTGTGCAACGGGTGTGGAATATGGCATTGTGCTAAAAATTACGGACTGTCTAGGTGCTAATAGAAGTTTCTTTAGGATGCAAACAATGGTTTCGGCATCATATGCTAGAACATCTTCAGCTACAAAATCCTCAGCCTCTTATATTGGTGCCTTCTTATCATTATTCTTGCCCTCCAACAACTGTATTTATTGTCGAGTGGGGAATTCTAGACAATTGTTTCATTCGATACCAACTAAGAACACAACCTCGACCTTCTCGCAATCCACTCTGTTAGATTTGTAACCACCAGGCGCTGACTCTGCCTTTCAAATGACACGTAGCTGCTTCTTTGGTCGAATATCCATATATTTTAATAAGAATGTTTCTATATGTCTCCTAGTCAAGATAATCTTTGAAGTGCAATAGCTATCAAAGAAAGGAATGTCTAATTTAGCATGAAATTCTCCTTGAGGCCTCGAAATTGTTCAGGGTGTCGTTAATCTGGGTTATTACGTGGATAATGCAGTTCATCAAAAACTGATGGTTTAACCTATTGTCGCAGGTAATAATCCCATTTAGAGTCAATATTCTTAGGAATAACAGCTCCATGTACTCTGCTGCAATTTCTGCTGTACTTCAACTGAGAATCTCAGAAATTCAATCGAAAGCTTCTCTAGCCTATGGGATACATTTGATTGTGCTGCCCACAAAGCTTCTACACTCCGATTATCATCAAGAGCTGTGCAGTGGTTCCCTTCAGCCATTTTCCCTGTTCTTGAGCTCTGATACCAATTATGGCTTAGAAGATTCACAGGTGCAGATAACAGGAAGAAAACAACTAGGAACAGAAGAAATGCTATAAGCTGCCTTCTCATCTCTTCTCCTTCCCTATATATAAAAGTCTACTGTGTTACAAAAGTGCTAACAAAATGAAAATAAGGGAAAAGGGGCAGAGCATAAGCAAAGTTGTGGTGATAAAACAAAAAATAACGCTAGTGGTTAGCACGTGCTTGCTTGATTGATTATCCTTCATTGCAACCACCGATCCTATATGAAGTACTTGAACATAATATTCTCAATATAGTAATCGAAAAATGTTTGCTGTCATTATTTTGTTAGAACTAAATCATGGAAAGCTGTAAAGAACCAATTTTAGTACAAAACACAAATCAATTCCTCCCTGCATTGGTTAGCCACTTAATGATTGCTGGTACGAGTTTATTTAAGCTTAACAAGTCTTCACATGCTGGGCCTTCACAGCCTTTCCATCAGTTAACCAGACATGACTGTTTGTGGCTGTTACACGCTTCCTTCTGCTTTCAAAATTTTCTCATTTAGCTATAGCAGATAAAATACCTGGCATTATTTTCACTTCTTCAACAAAATTTACTTCGGGTTCATTTAGGATAGCTGTAGCGTTCTATAAAGTCGATTGTAAAGTTATTGTAAGAAAAGTAATTTAAGTTTCATTTGGGACAATTTTTTTATTGCTTATTAAAATAGAATTGTAGTACAAAAATTTATGTGTTTTTTTTTTGGGACATTTAGGCCATTTAAGGCAAACTCACACACACAACGCATACACAAAGACTCAACCCAAGACCTCTTAGTTGGATGCATAAGCTCTCAACCAACAAGCCAAGGTGAGCTGTGTCAAAAATTTATGTTTTAAAAAGCAATAAAAAATTCGTTCCAAACTAAGAAACCCTTAGGGTTTGTTTGAGCCAACTTTCTTAATGCTTTCTAAAACAGTGTTTTAGTTAACAATTTTCTTGAATTAGAATTTTTTGTACTAAAAACTTGTTTTAGAAAGCAATGAGAAAGACAAAGCCTTAGTTATTCTGATTACAAAAAACAGCTTTCTATCATAAAAACTTCTCAAAAAGAATGAAAAATTATTCAACATAATTGAAATTATGATTGATGTCTGAAAAACAAAGTAATAGGAAAGTTGTTCATGCCATCCATTGTTATTTTGTGAAGGATAAGTTAGGTTGGGTGAAGAATTGCAAACTAGTGTGGGTTGTAAATGGTGCTCTGATGGAATCAATTTCTCATGCTCTATACAGCCTGCTTAGCTGGTTGTGATGTGACAGCTGAATCTCAATTGTTTTTGATTGAATGCAATTCTGGATATATCAAAGATTGCATGAGATTGTGGGCGAAGCAATGAATAAGCTGGAAGATGACGTTGGCTCCCTTAATGGGCCACGAGACATTGGTCATGGTATTGTTAATAGACTCTCGGTTGGTGTTGAAGTCCGAAGACCCTCTGTCCGAGCTGTAGAGGCCATGGATAAAATGCTTTCGAGTGCTCTATCAGCTAATGAGAAATTCCAGCGTAAGCCACTCTACAAACTTATCTTGACAGTTAGCTCATCTTAACTTTCTTCTGAAAGCAAATGCATTTTGTTTGCAGAAGCTAACTAAATCCCTCTGTATTCATCAAATTTGAAGAAAAGTCGTCATCCTCTCTCATTTTAGTTTTGGACCATGAAGATGATTGTGCTGACTTTTTCTGAACAAGTTAATTGGTTATAAGGGCATCTCCAACTATAAATAAAATAACATTCATATCAAAAAGTAATTCATCCTCAACCAAACTTTATTTCTAACATCAAAAAAAAAATTATACGAACATTCTTTCTCATCTAAGGAGAATTGTCATATTTTTACACACCATAATGCACTGGATATTGCCGAAGTTTATTTAGTTATGAAACTAGCAAAGCAAAGTACATAGCGAAACAACACAGCAGCTTTCACATTGAACTTATCCTAGACCTTGTAAAGAGAAAATCTAGCCTTAAGAAGACAAGATCAGGCTTAGGTAGGCTTCTGGATAACAAAGGACATGCACTGACACTGCCGCACATTGTCAAAGGAAAGAAGACGTATGTATGCATCAGGATATGCCTTTCTACACTCATCAATCTCATGTAGCACTTGAGAGGAATCAGTGCACCCAAACATAGGCAACTTCCACAGTGTCCAATACCTGCCGTCATAGTAGCCTGGGACGTTAGAGTTGCTTCTATGTATTTTCCCAACCTGCAAAAATCAGAATGTCTTGGTATTTTTGATTTGAAAACAGTCAAGGTAAAACATGAAGTCTCTCTTCCAGTTAGAGCTCATTTGGTTGTTTGGAGTTAGAAAATTTGCTTTAGAAGATGATAATTTTGATGTTGATGTGATTGTGACTGAAAGAATATTATCTTCCTGTAATCAAGACAACAAAGAACCTCAACAATTTTTTCATAATTTTCAAGGCTATCAACATGAGGAGAAATTATTACGTGTGAAGTCCGGATGCGTCTGTAGAAGCCATATTGCTTGTCCAGAGAGTGTGTATTATACATATTCTATATACAAGTGAGACACGGGTATATACAAATTACCTTATACATATTGGAGTCTAGACAACATAACAACATCAGGCCTTTGTCTCACTGCGTAGGGTCAGCTACAAGAATCCTTTTTATCAATTATGTTCTATGAAAAGTCAAATTCTCGTTTAAATCTAATAAAGAAAGAACGTTTCTAATATTTTGTAACCAAATCTTTTTAGATCTTTCTCTATCTTTCTTAACATAAGTCAAATCTAATACATCTACTTTCCTGGATACATATTGGAGTCTACACACGAGATAAATAAATGCAGTAGGCATGGTTAGTTACCTCATCGAATTCCAAGCAAGGAATCCATCCCTTTGAGATCATATAATCAACTTCCTTTGCAATTGATTCAGCTGAGAGGGGAGGTAAATAGGATAATACCTCATACCTTTTGTTGTTTATGGGATCCCATGTCTGATATCATTAAAGCAAGATTGAAGAACACTAATCAAGATCCAAAAAGATCAGGCGACTAAGTTCAGAAGAGTACCTTCATGCAATGAACTCTTGAGCCATTGGAGACTCTTCTTCTTGCTTGCCACTGAACACTAGCTTTTGCAGAGCTTAGCTTGTGGGATGGTTCAGGCCTGAGCCCGGCATAGCTTGGGATTTGCGTTGCAATAAGGAATCTGGCTGACATTTTTCTATTTTCTGTTTGAGAGAGGGAGGGATGGTGAGAGAGGTGGTTTTAAGGTGGAAGAGAAACAAGGGGTAGAGGAACTGGTTTTGGAGGTGTTATTGGAAGAAGACAAAAGGAGAACAGTAGGATGTGATGTTTTTTTTATATATAGAATTTGGTGTATAACAGTATAATAGATGAATTTTATATTTTATAAAATTGATATTATTATCATTTTAATTATTAAATTAATGTATTTGCACATTTTGTAATAAAAAGACTAAAATTTTGATAAAATTATGAAATAAATTTTATTTTAAATTTTAATGTTTGAATGATAATTTTAAAATGGAGCTAAAGTTGTTAATTTTATAAATAATTAAAATTTCAGTATAATATTTATGCTCTTTTTTATTAATTTTTATTTTGAAGAAAAAAAAATCTTCTCTTCTAATTCTCTTACTTCTCAATTATTGGTTTAAGAGAGGGGAAGGAGTTTGCTTTAAAGGAGGTGGTTTTGTTTTTAGGGGCAAGAGATTCTTTGGTTTTATCACCACCTTTAAGTGATGCTTTGGTTTCATCTCCATTTCCTTCCTCTCTTCAACTTCATGTTTTCTACCCTCTTCAATTATTGTCTAAAAAGCACTTTCATTATTTCAATTTAGTAATGTTTTATTTTTCAAGTAAGATCTTAAAAATTTTAAGAATTTATTTAGTGTGAGAAAGATGCTTCACATTATTTTTTGCACATATTTTTTTTGTGGTTTTCTTCAAGAATAATGTTTAATTATCCAAATGAATTATCTTGAAGAATAATGTTTAATTATCCAAATGAATTATCATAAATAGATTTATCTATTTATTTTTAGAGACTTCTCATATAATTTTTAAGTATTTATATATTTAATGTCTAAAATTTATATTTACTTATATAATATTTAATCATCTTAATTACATCAAAATTTAACATGAAAAATATATCTTTTGCTTTAGAAATTTAATATTAGTCATATTTTTCATATGATTGAAGGATTTGAATGGTATTTAATTAAATATACAAATTTAAGGTTTAGAGATATAAATACATAAATGATGTGGTATGTATGCAAATCTAATACTTTCTCATATTATAAATAAGTCATAAGATTACATATATTATCAATGCATTAGGATAAAAAAATTTTGAGCCCTAAAAATTCATTTGAGGATTCTTGCATTATCTTTTTTCATTTAAAGGTTGTATTAGCATTCATTTAAATTAGTATCATATATTTATAAATATAATAGATGATGTGATACATTATATAGATGCATATCTTCTCATTATTGAGTTGTCGAAAGTATATATTGAGATAAATACGCTTAACTGTAGAGTTTCTTAATTAAATTTCAATCATTACACCAAAATGCGATGTCATAACAATACACCTACTAAAAAATGGGAACTAAATGACATACAAGACAAAGTGTTATCCCAACGGAGCAACCTCTTGAACCTTATATGAGATAAAGTACTACATGACGGGAGTCACCACTTGAACTTGTAAGGGCCACCTATATAATTGTATATGCTTGGAGGATCTGGGATAAAGATTGTGAGAGCTCGTTCCTTTGATTTTTCCTTTCTGGATCTGATTTTCCTCCCAGGATCGTCCAGGACGATATTGAGATCGTCCAGGATGATATTGAGATCGTCCAGGACGATCAGTGCAATGAATACAGCTGAATTTCTGGAGTGGATCGTCCAGGCCGATTTTGGATCGTCCTGGGACGATCAGAACATGGCACAAGTCAGAGAGCAAATCGTCCATGAAATTAATTATCATCCTGAGATATCGTCCTGGACGATTGAATTTTGTTCACATCGTCGTGGACGATTGAATTTTGTTCACATCGTCCAGGACGATGTGGCGATCGGCCGGGCCGATCAAACTTGTTTTAAAAGGAAATCAGCTCGATTTGATGAGAGAGAAAATCATTTTTATAAAACAAAATATCTGAGGAGAGAGAAAGAGAAGGAAAGCAAAGGGAAAAGCTGGTTTCCGGAGGCCGCGGAGCGCTTTTCGTCCGACGCCGCTGTTGGGAAAAGTGTTTATCTCGTGGTAAGGACTCCGAATCCTATTTCTGTTTTCGAAGATGTTAAGTTTTGGTATTTTT